TTGTAACTTAACACTGAGTTACACAACGCGTGACGCTTTCATTAATTTTTCTGGAGACCGGAGCTTGGGATGCCTGTGCCCACAGCTGTCATTGACAACACTCCTTAACAGGAGTTTTTAGTTTACCTAACAGATCCTGTAAGTTAAAAAAATATCACATACCTACTGCTTGCACTACTTCCTTGTCTCCCTGTGTTTGTTCTCTTGTTTCACTTGAAGTGTCTGGAGCTGCATAGAATGAAAACACTGAAGTTATAATCATGACCCTCTTTAAGTGCTATCAATGATGATTTTAGGAGGTCAGTGAAAATGATAATGTCGCTTAATTAGTTTTAAACAGCTCTTAATTTTTATGTCATAAAAGCCAGGCAGCAGTTTACTGTTCACAAAATAAGCTTTTGAGTCAACAACGCCACGATTCTCTTAAAATGCGAATTGAGGCCTCAAAGTGAAAACCAAACTTTCGGACTTCAAGCGAGGCTTATAGCTAGTGACATTATGAAGATTCCAAGGCCAGGTAAATATTGTGTTTGAGTAAAGAGATGTCCAAAAAGTATTGTTTGATAGAAGATTTTGTGTCAAAACGTAGAACTTTCAGAATTTGCAAAATAATGCTGTGCAACATTAACAGATAATATCTTCAGACTTCAAGACTATCCTTCAACAACACTTAAGCATTAAATGTTACAGATGTATTTTATAACTCTACTCTCTGACTTTCTGGGATCTGTTGTACAGTTCAAACAATATCACGCAGGCTAATTTTTCAGAAAAGAACCAAATTAGGGCATAACCTGCAATGTTACATGTTCATTCACCCACCTGGTGCAGACTCACTTTGTTCCCTTCCATCTCTTTTCCCAACTTCTAGGCCACTGTGTGGAAGATCACCTAAAGAAAGTGAAGAGAAATATTTATCAGATAAGCTGATATCATAGCCAGCAAACATATTTATTTATTATCTGCCAATCATTTTGAAGCTTCAACAACTTCCCCCCTCCTCCTGTGCAACCCACAGGGAAATGCCTTACGTTCATAAAACAGTAGTCTTTTAAATCAAAGGTATTCGACGGATACAGTAAAACATAGGAATCAGGAATAAATAACAAACACCAATGAAATAAAGAAACAATCAAAACTGTTAATGGTGTGGGTAAGAGGGAAAAAAAATTATCTTAGAAGCTAGAAATATATACCTTGCCGCTTGCCTGCTTGATTGCTAGTAACATGTGCACAGATACCTAAGAGGTAATATATTAAAGTAATTTCGCAGTAAGAACATGTTAGCCATTGGCTCTATGGAGGTCTATGTCTTACATGCTGAACAAATTGCTCTATTTTAAGGAGATGACTAATATGTACCCTGCCTGTACCCAGTCCAGACCTCTCAGTTGTCGATGTCTAGATTCATATCGATAAAGATTAATGTTCACTAAAATCTTCGACATGTACACACTGAGAAGTTCTAGAAACAACTTCCTACATTTTGGGAAATACCTACTTAGGGAATGTATGCTATTACTATGGTTATTGCAATCAAATCTGTGATTCGTAAATTCATTTGTCAGTATACTCAGTGCCAATAACTGATGTAACTTTCTGATTACAGATTTCCCATTACTACCGTCTGATTAGTATTACCACCATAAAGAGTTTAAAAGCTCACGTTTCGAGTACCATTTGCTCTGACTACGCTAACGCTAAAAACGTCAGCTTTTAACGCCAGCTTTTTAACTCTTAACGATGGCCAATTTATGTTATCAACTCAGTTGACAATACTAAATTATACTCTCTGGTATCCGCCAGTTTCGCCCCATTTAATTTTCGACCCAGCAACTTCGTCCCGCATCAAAATGCCGAAAGCATAATGACTAAATTCGGATAAAAGCGTCCTAAAAAGGTGAGATCATTTTGGAGGACGCCTCTAAGGAACGAAACAATAGCGCAATTAAGCGACCTCGAGCGTTTACAAGTGTATCCTTCTGTTTTGACGTGCCGGTGAACTCCAAGGAATGATTGAAAACAATTTATGCCTTCAAGTTTTTTCGCTCAGTGTCCCCAAGTTTGATTTGTATTCATTAAAACAGAGCATTTTCAGAGCTTTAATAAGGGACCTTAAACGAGCATATTTGATGAGTGTAGGCCAAAGGTTGCATTTTACTTCTTGTTATTGGCGTTGTAATTTCTGCACAGCCATCTTTCACCGGCGCGTGTGAAGCATGAATTCCAAAGAATGACTGCAGACATTTTATGCATTCAAGTTTTGTTCGCCAACTGTTTTCAATTTTGATTTTCATATAATAGAAAAGGGCATTTTGCGAGCTTAATAGAGACCTTTGAATGAGGTGCGTGTGAGGCATGTCTTGCAAATCATCCTTTCTCTAACATTCCCATGAGCGCGTGCCAGATCACGATCGAAATTTACAAAAGAGAAGAGATAAACCTTCAGTAAATAAACTTGGATCATTTAAATAAACTTGGATCAGAATATGACGCAGAGAGCGCGTGGAAGAAATGGACAAGATTTTTAGTCAAGTTCACTGCAAACGCAAACGGCAAATGTCGCCTACTTTTCTTCTTATCCAATAAACCAAACTCACAAATATCTTCTAATTACAATAAACGCAGATATTTTTACATTATTGCTCTTAAAGCTGAAAGGCAGACGAAACTGAAAAGAGTCCAGAGAAAGAAGTACAGAGATATGCAGGCAAAGTTGTTTGTGCACTGGGATGAATACCAGCAGGGAAAGAAGAGTACCTCGCAACTTCTCAGGTCGTGTTCGTATTTGAACGGACTAAGAGCTAATTGATTGAAACCAATCCGTGAATAGAGTGGAAATAGACTTCAGTCGGAAGTAATCTGTGAGCGGGTCACGCCACATGAATTCAAACTTGCTTGATTCGAATTTACATAAAATATATAACATGTTAGTTGTACAACACAGTCGTTTTAGAAACGCCTTCAATCACAAATAAAAGTTTTTTTTTCTTTAATAAAAACATCATCGAAGCATTATGTATAAGCAAAACACAAAAAACACTGTGCACATGCTTGGCACATTTACATGAACATAAAGCCACATTCGGTGAATTGTCTAATTTGCATGAAATCCACACAATTCTTGTCTCCGTATCTTTCCATAAATACTTTTAAATATAAACCTGTTGCATAAATACAAATGTTAAAGGACATAAAATGTAAGTTGGACATAAAAACACATATTTTATGAGGGGGTCAAACTTGGAGTTGACACGGGTCGAAGTTAAACGGAGCGAAAATGAAACGTAAATACTTTTAAAATACAAATCTGTTGCATAAATACAAGTGTTAAAGGACATAAAACGTAAGTTAGACATAAAAACACATATATGATGAAGCGGGTTGAACTTGAAGTTGACACGAGTGGAAGTTACACGGGACGAAACTGGCGTAATTCTACTCTCCCACCGACGCATAAGAAACTCAATTCATCATATTTAACACACGTAAAAATGCTTTTCGTAAAAACGCCTTTCGATGTTGGTAGCTTACCGAACTCAAATGAAGTTTGCCGAACGTTCGTTTACCTCAACCGAATTTTAGGTACGTACCATACAATAACCTCACCTCGTATGGGATTCGATGGATGCCTGCTCTTTCTCCCTAAATTTCTCAAGCTTTTAAAAGGATTGCTCATTATTCTCCCAAAATTAGCATAGATTCCTTTCGTTCCCAACTTGCTGTGTAAAGAATTCCAGCTGGGCAGAAACCAAATTTACTAAAAAAACTTTCGAACTCTGGGCGTGACATTTTTCCGCTGGCAGAAACTCAATGGCGCCAGTAGTTCTAACGAGAATTCCCATTGGATTAAATTCTTGCATTTCGGCCAACAAGACCAATCTTTACTTCTCCGTTCACTTCCTTCTGAATGTTGATTAGCTTTAAGAAGAGACGGGAACCAAATTTAAGTTATCAGAACCAACTGGAGCTGGCTGGAACCGAGGACTGATTAGTAAGTAATCAACGAAGTAACTAATATTTAGTCCAGTCCGATGTTTGACTAACAAATTTTAGACTCAATGATATTAGTTTCCATATATACTCCATATACTCGACTGTGTTTGTATACTCAATACCAGATTACGTCTAATTAACCTCTCGTCCTTCAAGTTGTTCTTATTTATCGACCAAATCTATCACTTTCCGAAGAGATTCGCCACAGTTGCCGTTGATTAGGAAAAAAACTTAGAAATTTCAGCAATTCAATGAATAGTAATTAAGGTGTGAATGAAAGTGATCCTCGCAGTAATGTGCACTACTTGGGCAGTAGTGAAAATAAGGCCTGAAAAAAATTCAGGCCTGTACGGGATTTGAACCCCGGTGCAGCGCTCTACAAACTGAGCTAACAAGCCAACTTACTGCGAGGATCACTTTCATTCACGTCTTTATCCGCGGTTCAAATATACGACTTTCATATATTCTTAACTGTTTAATAGTAATGAACGAAGCCAATGGGCGGAAAAGCATGACTGTATGCGAGTTAAGGATAATGGAATAAACAAGTTACGGTCCAATTCAGGTGTAACTGCTTCAGGATTATTTTATCACAGTGCATTGCATTTTCATGTGACCTTGCTTCTTCCTTGTTCCATAACGTACTATTTTTAAGCACTGACTCAACTTCCGCCTATTTTGATTAGAATTACATAATTAAATAAAATCTCGCATTCTGATCGGTCAACGAAGCGAAGTATTTAGCGTTTAATTGCGAGTTGAAAACGAGGCTAGGTGATATTGTTTCGCATCTACGTAAATATAACAACTATCGCCAAATTGTAACAAAGTTTTCTACGATGTCATTTTAAACTGTTAGCAAAACCATTGACACCTTTTGAAGAGCGAAAAACGAACAAAAGCGTTTTGCAAAGTGAGTCAGAGGTTCTTCCCTGTTTTGAAATGAACTACAAATTCTTGGAGAGGCATAAAAGTGAGAAAATCCTGTGAACACGGCCTAGAAAATGGCAAGCAAAAGTTCAACCACACAAGACGAAGAAGCGACAACGGAAGAAGTGCCAGGGTCGATTGCCATACGTGTAGAAGAGGAAATAAATACCTTTAATCGCGATGTTAAACTTTCAGCGCTTTCGGTTGGACACTTCATTTCTTTCAGTTTTGCCACAAGAGAGATAAAAGGTGTAAATTAATTTCCTTCACGAGCAAATGATTTGGAAATTTGGAAAAAGATGTTAAAGATAAACGGCTTGTAAATTCAATGAAATACCACTATCATCCTTAAAATAGTGTGAAGCTTGTTAAAAAGTTTGAAGACAAATGTAAAAACAAGCACAAGATACAATTAAAGTTGTCGAAGATTCAAATGTGTACCACTGATCTTGCTTCCTATTCGCTATCGCAATGACAGTTCTGACAGTTTACTTTGAAATGTTTTTCTGGGGCACGCGCTCAGGATAAAAACAAACAATATTAATATTGTTTTCATTTTTAACTCGTGAATTGCGCGCATACGCAAGAGCGAGTTGTAGATACGATGTGGGGAATAGCACTCGCTCGATTGGTCAATTCCTGTAAACGTTTTTTCGATTTTAGGCTTTTGAGTGCATTTGATAGTTTTTGGCGAGCAATAAACGAACGAAATGGCGACCTTTGTTGCTAAGAATAGTGGTGGGGTGACAGAGAAGCCAATGATAATCTTAAAAGTTTTTTTTTTTCGTTTTAGTTTCAACAAGCGGCGCCAGCGACTGGCAGGCATGCAAGGATTCACACTGAAATAACAGAACAACCTTGTTTTTCATAAAATTGTAATTTACAATCCTTGAACTTGAGAACAGTCCGAAGATTCATTGAAAATATCACTTACTGCGAAGCTCTCGGAGTTTACAGATGTTCGAAAGCTTTTTCTGTTACGGCGTGAGATTGAGGACAAAATCGATCATCACGTTTGGTATCTTGTGTTTTTCCTGTGTGAAGCAACAAAAGATGCCGGCGACTAACGAAATTACAAGTTAACACGAAATCAAATAACACCTAAACAAACAATTTTAGCTACCGATTTTCAGTGAATTTTTAAAGAACAATTTTCTTTTGAGTTTCAAGACAATTTGAAGATTCAAAATACATATTACGTACTAAAATGCTTAGGTTATACACCACAAAATTGATAAATAGGCCTGAAATGAAATTCTATCTTGTTATTGATTATACGTTGCCTAGCACGTGACTAAAATCTACCCAGGCGGAGATCCAAAATGACGGTGGCAGTCTTGGCTTAGGTATATCACTCAAAACTCGTTCCCGTTTGTCTCATTTGATAAAGAGAGAATCGTTAATGTTTACATTAAGACAGTATTGCCTTGATTTTCTAATATTTACAATGATAGACAGTGAATTTCACTTTTCACGCACATTTACTTCCAACCTTTTCTTTTGAACCAGAAACAGAAATGATATACGTTTAAAACACATGACATCATCCACCCCTGTCAAATGCAATAGCATGATCATTTCAATTGTAATGCCTTCTTATCCCAACGTTACTTTGTTTCTTTGCTACAATAGCGAACACTGAACTACTGCTCGTACTCTAGATATGACAATCAACCACAAAACTCCCTAAACCAGATCTAAACCAGATAACATTAAACATAATCCAAAAAATCATGTGTCAATTCACGAGTTTGCTCACAGAGCACTTTGATTTCTTATTTTGATGCAATTATGAGATTCAGGGAAAATCCATTACCTGACTTATGAATTCCTGAACGATTTCGCGATTCATGCGATATCGGTTTTCGCTTGCAGTTTAACTCGGAATTCTCTCGTCAGGTGATAAATTTTCCTATAAAATTTACACTTTATGAAAAGAAATCAGGTAAAACGTTTTTGTATTTATTTCTGGTCATTTGTTGTCTTGAACTTTTGACAACTCCAACTTGATTATGGCCCGGTCGCCTGAGGGGGGAGGGGGAAATGTTATGGACCGGTCGCCTGAGGGGGGATGGTGGAGGGTTTTGAATGAGTCACGATTAAGTTTACACGATCCCCCCTCTTAGGATGATTATCTCTCGTCAGCAATAATGCTTTTCACGATTTATCTGTTTCTATAACTTCCTAAAAAAGTCTTAACCTTAGTTCATTTTAACTCTTTTGGTACAGGAAAACCCTCCAATCAACGATCAGAAAGAAAATGGCGTATGTGACACAAAGGACATCCATAATTGTCTACCTTGTCTTTCATTTGATCAGTAGTCTTGTGATTTGCACCAGAGCAGACCTAATAAGTGAGTGCACCGACGCCACTATTTGTATTGGAACCTATGCTGACATCTACAAATCCTTAGCATCAGATGTGAACAGTTTTAACATCGAATCCGCCTTATATCCGGCAAATGAGCCTTCCTCAGTTCTAGTCTTCGTCAATATATATGGTCAGAATGGACCAGATAAAGCAGGCAACGATTCCATACCTGCTGTAATGAAATACACATGGAGTTTAAGAAGCCTTTATGCTGCTTTTCCCGCTGTTTTCCTGGAGATCTCATCCCTTTTCTCGATACTGGTGACTCCACGCACGCAAGAACTAAACATCACGATTCCATACTTTTGCTGCAATGTTTCTGTAAAAGACAGGAAAAGAATGATTAAAACTGTACTGGCTGCCGTAAGTATTTCAAATAGCTATTTTTTATTAGCACACAAAGCCCCATTCGCGAATTCAAGATGTTAGCGCAATGCTCAACCAGTTTGCTTAGAAATTCCGAAAAGTTTCTGATGAGTCTTTTAGCTGAGACGAAACGCAGCATGTTATTAACCACGAAATATTTTTTCACAAGTATTTAACAATTTCCATCGTAGAAATAATTAAAAATGTCCGTAATACAAAATTTCAATCTCACTTTACCTAAACCGTCACGTTCACATTTTTCTTTTCTACAAAAATATTTCGGACTCATCCTCACTGATACATTTTGAGTGGTTTGTGTATCAATATGCTGTTGCGGCTGCTCGACGCCCAGCCGTCGCCTGGGTCCTCATACGGAACATTTAAGTTTTTCGTGCATGCCCGGTGGCGGCATCCTCGAACGGTGCCACGAGGCCACCGAGTTAACACCTTTTTATCTCGTTCGGTTTTTCGATTTTTGGTCTTAATGTTAGACAATGTAAAATTTTGTGCGAGTTTTCTCAAAGCCCTCGTGAAGGATTTTGGATTAAATTTTGATATTTCAAATGGTTAGTCACCGTTCGCGGCAACAATGCTTTCCTGAGTAGTTTGAAAATGAGAAGTTTATACCCTCCGTAACAAAAAGGTATCTCTTTACATCCCTAGCTCTACGAGGGCCATTTCTGTACAAAGGCCACTGTCCCCTGTGTGGAGAGGGTTCAGTTATATTAAGTCGCCTCAAACTCAGTAAAATGTTACAAACTAGCTTAGTTTTTGTGCTTTTCAGTTGTCTGTGTTCACTTAGTGTTTCAGATATCGGGCCTTGGCGGTCAGAAAACTTGATCTTGGAAACCAATTTTTGTCTTTTTTTGTTAGTTTTGTCTTTGTCTTATGCCATTCATTTAGCAATGGTTACGGCGTAGCTGTCAGTCAGGGTGCAAGAATTGTAAAGTTATGTTAGGCTTGTAAGATTCCATCTATCTCCGGCCTCGTTACTATGCCCTCTTAACACAAAATTTGTTTTTAAGAGGGCATAGTAACGAGGTTGGCAACCCGATTGGTTCTTAGGGTAAGCAAAATTTTCTCCTTTCTCTGCCCACAGGTAGTGCTAACACTTCGTTAAATTCTCTTGTTATATTTTCGTGAATTAATAAGCAAGCAATCGTCATTCTTTTGACGTTTTGAAAAACATTTAATCCCTCGGCATTTCACCGCGTCGGATTGCCAAAGGACTCCTGTTTACGCGTCCCATCAAATCCCATCAAATTTCCATAAAGGAAAACCTTCGTCGACCCTTGTGGAAATGCCTATTTTTCAACTTCTTGGATCAGTTGGTGCGAGTTATTTAATTGGCTAATGATATACAATACCGATGACGTCAGGAGCAAGCCTCTCGTCAACCTATCAGACGGGAAGAGGAAGAACATGCTAGGGGACATATATATATAAATATATCACAGCATATACATATAAGATTTCTGTTATTGGCAAATCAATGAGTGGTTTATAACGTCTAATTTACTGACTGCCAAAGGCCTTTTAAATCGAAAATGATGACTTCCGCTTAGGTTGTCGAAACCTCCGTTAGTGATCGCTATCTCCAGAACTGCTTAAATAAAATACTCCTGCTATCACCGAAAACGGTTTTTCACTGTTACATGCTCCACTCTTATAATCAGGTCTGATGTATAATTTTTTTTTCAGCTTCAAGACCTTGCTGTAACTCCTGGTTTGCGAGATCCACGCTTGAATTTTGCAGAATCTGTCATAGAAGGGCACATCCCAGACATGAAGACTACTGATCGTTCTTATTTAAGGGTAGTTTTGTGGTTTTCTTTCCTGTGTCCCATGTTTTTTGGTCCATTTTTATATTTTTGGGTCTTACAATACTTAAAAGATGACACTCAAGGCACATCACTCTCTGCGGGGAGCGATGGAAACCGTAGTAGGGTGGATTATATTTGTCGTAGATACGAAGAACCATTGATATGTTCAGTAACTCTATTTTGTTGTTTCCTGTTGCTGATAGAGGTCATGTTTGTTTTAGCTAGAGTGTGGACATCCACCGAAATTTCAAAAAGAGGAAATATGTCGCGAGACTTTATTGTACTCCTTGCACTTATACCAGAATGGTTAGTGATATGCTGTTGTAACTGCCTTTGTTGTGAAGATTTGGATATTAGTTCATTTTTCAGCAGATTATTGCTGATTATGTGCACGAGCTTGGTTAGTTACCATTTGAGCTGGGTTGCAGTGGGTATCATGGTTAATCCAGCTTGGGGCGTTTCTATTTTGCTGATACTTTCCTTTTTTGGCATTACCTTATTTTTTGTAATCAATGAAACAACCCACGCAAATGACTTTCGCCTTTCTGCCCTTTTCGCATATACACCTGGCTTCCTTGGTCTCTGCTTTGTTGTCGTCCCTCCAGTATTAGTTGGACAGTCATTTTATGGTCGGGAAACTGCAGATGATATTCTAAAAGCAGCGTTATTGTCTGTTATCGGTGCTGTGTCATGGCTGTACTTCAAATCTCGCAAAGCTTCCTCTGATACTTCACAGTGTGTTGAGGCTGCTAAGCAAGCAGCAGCTGTAGCGAGGGCTCTAGCCAAAAAAATAACTGTACCTCAACGTGATGGGACTGAGGTTCATTCTGCAATTGTGGCAGCAGCTATAGCTACATCCTCTGCAGCTAGTGCAGCTGCGGCGGCGGCGGAAGCTGTGGCTGTTGCTTTGGCTGCAGCCAAGAATGAAAATTCAAAACTTAAAGCCGCGCAAGGTGGAAACGAAAATAGCACCCCAAATGGAAATGGATTAAGCGAGGAGACACATCCCCTATACGAAATCCAAAGTGCCTCCGGACGTTAAAACATCGAATCTCGGTCACTTTGAATCAATGTTGGTCTCCTTCCCCACTTCCCCCTCCCTGCTCTTACCTTTCGTGCAGGCTCTCTAAGAAAAATTAATCCTCGCGTTCTTGCCTTGGTTTTAATGGCCGTGGTCTAACAGTTTATGTAAGAGTACCAAGCGTTCGCTCGTCAAAATGCTCTTGCTTTATATTAAGGACAAATAATGATATTACGCAAGTTTTAGCTAGAAGTAAAACTCGCTCCTCGGGGCTTATGTGGCCTGGTACGTTTTTGAATTCACTTTGCTTGCTCCTAGAGAGCTCTAGCTCTTATTTCTTAGTTTATAACATGATATCGATTTCCTGTGACGTCTTTGGTACACACCCCATTGATTTAGACTTCATAGAAATAAAAGTATGCAAGCGAAGATATTTTATCATCTTGTTTAGTCATACAATCGAACCTCCACTATTCTCGGCTCTCATTGAATATGACAATCTCATTCATTCTTTTCTGAAATAATTTCTCATCTCCCTTTGACGGCTAGCTCTCCTCAGTTTCCTCCGCCCTCAAAGTGACCGAAGTGGAAAAGTTCGACTGTATTTGTTATCAGTAGCGTTTGAACAGGTTAGGAGGAAAACTTTTTGTAACTATAGAACATGCAGCATATCAACTTAATGCATTTTGAATTCATCTCTCAAAGCAATTGTTAAATTAAATATCATTTTTTCCTTCTTGGTAATTATTGCTATGATTCTCCGAGACTTGGACGTTTGTCATTAAGAAAATCTTACGACAACATTGCAATAGAGTCAGTTTTATTAAGTCACAAACATCAATTTTTTCATAGCATGATGATGTTACTGTAGCCTAAGTATGAAAATCACTTTCACTGTCATTGATTGTCTATGTATTTTAATTTTTTATATGTTTCCTTTGTACTGCAGTTTTTACTTTAGTGTTAGACAGGCATTTTATGGAAGGAAAAGTATCGATTAAACTAAACCGTTTTTCTCGGCATCTTACAGTAATGTTATGGATAGTTTTGTAATCTCGAAGTGAAAAAACCTGTAACCCGAAACTGTTCCTCTTCCTGCGGTGGCTTCGAGCTCCAAAAATAGGTTGAGGAGGAAAAGGTTTGCGTCTTAACTCCCCACTACGGATTGAACGTTTAAATGCACATACACATATCCCAGCTATTGATTCTATGGTAACCATGAACTTTTTGAGGCCCTAAAAAGGATTCAAATCCACAGAATAATTTCCGTACCCTATTCGAACTAGGGACTTCCACCTGAACAAAAACGATAACATAAACTGGCCACCATAAAGAGTTTAAAAGCTCTCCAAAAATGCAGTGGTCGTTTCCTTTTTCCTGCTCCTTTCTCAAGCCCACGTTTACTTTCTCCTTGTGCCGGGTTACCAAGCTGTAAATAGCGTTGCAAATCAACTGCCACTCAAGGTGGCGATAAGAAACGCAGTTCTTCGAATTCGCTATGTTTTAGCCTTGTTCTGGTGATTTTTATTTCGGTGCGGGAAAGCCCATTTTATGGAAAAATGCAAGCAGGACGAAAGCTAGGGATTGTGTACATTGGCGAGGCTGGTGGCAAGGTCAGTGCGGAAATGTTTTCAGTGACCGGTTTTATTTACTTACTTGTATTTGATCTGATCAAGTACTAATCAAGAGTTTATTTGTAATCTTGCGATTTAGATTGCTGATGTTCTCATGATCAGTTATTTCAGTGGAATCTCCTCGGTTAATCAATAATAATAATTATTATTATTATTATCATCAATTTCGAGGTTCTCACTTTCGATCTACATGTATTGAAAATAAGCCTGATAGAGGGAATGATGGACTCTAACAAAGGGAATAGTGGTTCAAGTTATTGCAATGTTAACGTGTAATTGTAATTCCATACTTCCAAGAGGTTTAGTGTATAACTGTACACGTGATGACAACTACTGTTGGGCTACAGAGCTTATTGTAAATTTTACTGGCTCAAGGCATCAAGGAACTAAAGATGCAGCATTTAAAATCCACATAGCTCTAACAATTCCCCTAGTTTGCTCCTTTGTAGGCTATCTTTGGTGGTGATCGAACACAGATCCAATCTTGAGGCCACTCTTCTAGAACAGACCATTTTTTAATTACTTAAATCTTCATTACTTAATGGATGCATTTTCTGAATGTTTTGTAAAATATTAAGTACTATGACAGGATGTGAATTACCTTTTGTTTACTAATCACAAATTTTTTTTTGCTTTTACATCACTTTAAGTTTTTTGTTTTATTCCTTGTTTTTCTCCATACCATCCTTTGTAGCATAAATGTTCTGTCTTCTTGACAAAAACAATGTTCATCCAGTTAAAAAGTTTAGATTTGAGGTAAGTGATTTCAATTTTCTCTTCCTACAGTTACTCAATAAAACCCTATGGAATTTATCAATTTTTTTGTCAGGGTTTATCCAAAATCAAAGGCCTCTACATTAAGTTATGGACCTCATTTTTTCAGCTGGCATTTATAGCCCAAAGGCAACACATGTAGACCATAAATCTGAGGGGTGAAAAACAAGGTTCTGTAACTTACAGTAGTGACTAAGAAAAGAAGATCAGTACAATATTTAGTCTCTCTCTCTGGATTCAAATAGAGGGGAAGAAACCAAATCAAACAAACTTTTGAATTTAGCGTGCTATACAGTGAAATACAGCCTGCTAAATTGACCAATCATTTTGCATGTATTAACTGAGAGATATAATCAGCTACATTATTGATTGTTGTTGTGTAACTGGAATGCAAAACATATTAGTCATTTAAAGCAAAAACACTTAATTTTCAAAGATGCACATGTGCCCTCTCTGAAAAGTGACTTATTAATACTTGATTTGTATTTGAAAATTATACATAGCATCATGCTATTACACTTGTATGCTGTATAGATTCCTTTTCCCTGTTTCTAGTCTGTGGATTTACAGTAAAAGCTTTGTATTGCTTCATCAGGTGAAAGTTGATGCCATTAAAGATGGCAATGGTGCTAACATCTTTGCATATGGATTTGACTTATCAAGAGAAAGAACAAGTGGATGCTATTTTCATGAATGTAATGGTAGTGAAATGTTTGTTGCCTCTCTGACTAGCCTTTAAGAAAGAATGTTCTCCAGTCATTAAATACACAAGAATAGTTGTTAAATAGTAGCTAGTCTTGGCATTTTGTTTATTAAAGTTAACTCATTGTTGACTTACTTATAATGAATTCAGAAGTATGGCATTTGTCTTGCAAGAAAGGTTGTCTAATTTGCTAAGTACGTGTATAAAGAAATGATAAATTAATAATTACTTCAGTTAACTGAAAGGGACCTCAAGGTATTCACAGCTACAATTGTTTCCAATAGTTTATTTATTTATTTATAATAACTTCATTTGCCTAAATAATAAGATAATAATAATGATAATATAAAAAAAATTAAAAAAAGCAGAGAAAATAACTACAGCATATTTACAGACAGATGAAAAATAAAAATAACATCGAAATGCAAAATGGAAAAAAGGGTCAAGCCAGAGAGGAACTAAATCCTCATTAACAGCAGCCCCCAGAATGAAAGAAACATGCAATAAAAATAGAACTAAAATTTAAAGGTAAAAATCATTTGAAAAAAAACTCAATTGATAAATAGATATTGGTGCAATATCATTGATATTATTTAAAAATGTGTTCTTTCAGTTTTTTTTTAAACTTACTAGCAGAGCTAGAGCTAATTATGTCACTTGGCAAGTCATTCCAGATTTTTATATATTTATACCAAAAAGAGTTCTTGAGGATATTTGTTCGAGCATAAGGCGTCCAGATTTTGACATTGTTGGTAGATCTCGTCCGACTATTGGAGAAAGTTAAGTAATTACATAAGTCTACTCTTGAAAAACCATTAATGAATTTGAATAATTGCACTAAACTAAGAAATTCACGACGCGAGTTGAGTGTTGGCCAGCCAAGATACTCCAAACGTTCACTATAGTCGATAGAAATACCAAGGATCCACCTGGAAGCATTCCTTTGCACTCTTTCAAGCTTATCAGACAGAAATTGTTGATGTGGATTCCACACAGGACAAGCATACTCAACAATTGGCCGAGCCATAGACTTATATCCAATTGTTATTGCTTCAGAGCATTTTCCAAATGTGCGCTTTAGTAGGCCAAGTATCTTATTTGCTTGTACGAGCATGGTGTTACAGATCTAGATCTTGTGATTCTCATACATTTGCATTTAGTTGCTTTAAGTTTCAAAAGCCACTTTTTACACCAGTCTACGATCTGAGACAAGCTTTCACACACAGGTTGATGAACAGATGATGGCTGATCTGAATTAAACAATAGAGTATCATCGGCAAACATTTAACTTGAGCACGATAGGTTCTCAGGTATATCATTGACATAGAACAAGAACAACATTGGCCCAACAATACTTCCCTGAGGGACACCAGAGTAAACCATGGACCAGTCTGAGCTTTCACCTTCCAGAACAACACGTTGGAAACGATCTTGCAGGAAATCACCTAGCCACTCGAGAATCTGACCATTGATACCATATCGGCCAAGCTTAGAGATGAGATGTTTGTGTGGGACTGAGTCAAACGCTTTCTCAAAGTCCAGGAAGACGACATCTGATGTTTTGTTTTTATCTAAGGCTGATGCCCAGGAGTGAAATAGGCGAATAAGTTGGGATGTGCAGGAAAAACCAGCTCGAAAGCCATATTGATGAGGGCTTAACAAGTCATGATCTTCTAGATGAGCCATAATATGTCTTGTGACTAGCTTCTCTAGGGTCTCAAGCGATGTTAGAGAAATTGGACGATAGTTAGAAACATATTCTTTACCACCATTTTTGTAAACTGGGGTAATGTTGGCACACTTCCAGTCACGAGGTAGTTTTCCTCTATTCAGAGACATGTTGAATAACTTTGAAAGTGGATCAGAAATTACAGGAGCTGCCTCCCGGAGCAAACGTGCAGACAAACCAT